TATAGAAAATTTAAAATATCCCTGCTAGCTCTTATCTGTCAAGATTAAAACTATAAGCTGGAAGGTGCTAATAGCACAACTATCTTCACTTAAATTTTCTACAGTTGCCAGTCTGGCACCTACACAATAAACAAAACACTATTTCAATGTTTTAATTCTATACACAATACCATCAAAAACTAACCAAAAGGATCTTTTTAAGAACTCCTCTGCCCCCAGCCTTTTCTTGTGTGGCAGTATTATGTGGGCCACCACACATATGGTTACCATTCCAGCCAATTAAACCAGGCTCTGCATTGTTTTTCGAAGACATGAATATTTTTATAAGGGTAATAGAAAGGGAGTGAGGGAGGCATTTGAGTTGAATTCTTTAAAATAAAATATGGAAACATAAAGCTGAATGTTCTTTTTCGAATATTCTAAAAAATGTCATTCTACAAAAAGAAATTTAAAATAACAGCATCCATATATACTTTTTAGGTTTTTAACATTCAGTTTTTAAGTAGGGAAATAAATGCTTTGGTTGCTAAATGAAGTGACTTCAAAGAGGTATTACACAGAAAGTTACTTGCATGATTACTAACATCAGTGTCTTCTTTTTCTAAAAGGTGATTTTAAAAATCGAGCTGAGATGATAGGTTTCAACATACGGATCAGAAATGTCACGAGGAATGATGCCGGAAAATATCGTTGTGAAGTTAGTGCCCCATCCGAACAAGGCCAAAACCTGGAAGAGGATACAGTCACTCTAGAAGTGTTAGGTGATGTGCATGTGTGTGTGTGACTTCTGTCCCCAGCCCCATCCCAATCCCCAGCCCTGGGGGTTAATTCATTATGACAAAATATCTCTTTGTTTATAATGGAGGCAATTCAACATGCTTTTGTTGCACTGAAGATGGAGGGGACCAAGTAACAAGGAATGTGGGTGGCCTCTAGGAGTTGAGTGTGGCTCCCAGCTGATAGCCAGCACGGAACAGGGACCTCAGTCCTACAACCATAAGAACTAAAATCTGCCAACACCCAGAATGAACTTAGAAATAGATTTTCCCCAGCGCCTCCAGATGAGAACTCAGTGCAGCCAACATCTTGATTTCAGATGGGGTTTTGCTGTGTTGCCAAGGCTGGACTTGAACTCCTGGGCTCAGGAGATCCTCCTGCCACAGCCTGGTAATGATTCTACACTGTACATAGGAGCATGTTTCCCAAGAGTGTATTTTTCAATAGCTTTCAGCATATGTACTATTTCTCCTACCACATAAAAAGATATCATGTGAGACAATAGAAAAGCAATAAAATAAAAAAAGTAGTCCCGGGGAAGGATTAGAACTTATTTGGTAAAGAAAGGAAATTAGCATTTACTGTGCAGCCAATATGTAATCACATATGTAATTTTACTTCATCTTCATTGATAACCTGATTTTAACAGATGAGGAAATGGAAGTTAAATTATTTTTCCAAGGCTACACAGCTAGAAAGTGTCTGGACCAAGATTTGGATTCAGATGTGGTTAACTCCAAAGCCAGTGTATTTAGTTACTATAAGAATCACTGATAGATATTAGCAGCTCATGACTGCAGTTAGTGGAGGAACATGATCTCGTCTCCTTCACTGATACTAGTATAAGTTACCAAGTAAAGAGAATAAAGTGGCTCCTCCTTTTTTTCTATTGTCCAGGTTCTTTCTAAAATACTAGTGATGTGCTAATATAAAAGAAATTTAATTCAGAAAACTTTGCAGCAGATTCAGTTGGTTTATTAGATTTCTACTGTCATGTAACAAATTATCACAAATTTAACAGCTTCAAAAAGCACCCATCCATTGGCTCATATTTCTGTGGAGCAGAAGTCCAGCAACAACAACAAGATGGGGTTCTCTGCCCCGGGGTATCATGAAGCTGAAATTAATGTATTGGCTGGGTTGAGTTCCACACTGGAGGCTTTTGGAAAAGTCAATTTCCAAAATAATTCCTGGTGTCACCAAGAATTATGAACCACCTATATCTGTGCTTATAGGTCCCTGTTCAGAGAAAACTCTCTGTTTTTAAAGGGTCATGTGATTAGGTCAAACCCATCCATGAACTCTCTCTATCTTAAAGACAATGGATTTGAGACCTTAATTACATTTCCAAAATCCTTTCACAGCAGCACCTAGATTAGTCTTTAATTGAATAACTGAGAGAAAGTATATATATACCAAGGCTGGCAATCTTGGAGGACCATCTTAGAATTCTGCCTACCTCAGCCAGTTCTGGCTTTTCCTGGATATTAGGCCACCTAAAGTTTGCTTTACTTTCCAAATTCCTGACAGTCAGAATAACCCTATTTCTTGGAACAGGTATTTTCTAACTTGGCTAGTTCTAGACAGAATGGGATTTTGATTGAGTACTGGGGCTGAAAACTATGCTTAGGTTTGACTTCTTTTGAATTACTGGTAATAAACATTAAAACCAGTTGGACATGGTGGCTCATACCTGTAGTCCCAGCTACTCAGGAGTCTGAGGTGGGAGGATTGCTTGGGCCCAGGAGTTTGAGCAACCTTGTTAACGTAGTGAGACCCCCATCTTTAAAATAAAAAAAAATTTTTTTTAAACCAACACATTAAAACCATTGGTGAAAAAAACAGTAGAGGTTGTTTATCTAATAAAGAATAGCTGTTACGTTAGCTAAGGTAATGCTTGCTATTATAACGGATAAGCCCTGAACTCTGTGAGTGGCTTACCATAATACAAGTTTCTTTTTCATGTAAGTAAACCCTAAGTGGTTGGAACAGGACTGGTGATGGAGCTATATTGCTCCATTTCTTGAAATTGTGAGAGAGACAGCCTAATGTATATCTGATATCTTCAATACCTGACTTTCCAAGGTCACCAAGAGTGTTGATACCTACTTGGTAGTGGGAGGGAACAAAAGGGAGTGAATGAATAGAGAGTCATGCAGGAAGTTTTTATGAGTCAGGCCCGGAAATGGCATATACAACTTTTCTCCACATTCCATTGTGCAAGCATGTGACCCCTTCTGGCAGCAAGGGGGCTAGCAAATGTGACCTACTGTGTGCCCATGAAGATAGGAAATGGGTCTGTTGAATAAGAAGCCAGTCTCTATCATAGGGGTCTAGTAAGTACATCTTTCCCTGACTATTAAAACCCTTGATTAGCTTATAAATAACCAATACCGTTTGACTTCCATTGTTCAGTGGCTCCAGCAGTTCCATCCTGCGAAGTACCCACTTCTGCTCTGAGTGGAACAGTGGTAGAGCTACGATGTCAAGACAAAGAAGGGAATCCAGCTCCTGAGTACACATGGTTTAAGGATGGCATCCGTTTGCTGGAAAATCCAAAACTTGGATCCCAAAGCACCAACAGCTCATACACAGTGAATGCAAAATCTGGAACTCTGGTAAGTTCATTTCAAGTATTGGCTAATACCTATCTTGTGTTTGGATAAAAAATTATTAGAACTTAAGATGATGTAGAATAGAGGACTGTTACCATTGCATGCTAAGTAGAGAGAAGAAGGGTAGCAGCAAAGATGGTGGTACTTGCTCCAAGAAGTGATGGAAAGAGCTGCCACAGGATATGGGAAGACAAGACAGAGACCTGGGGAGCTCAGCATGCAAGGGTCTGTACCAGTGACCTGAAGCAGGCTAAACCTGATTCATAGTGACGGACCAGGCAGTTTACCACAGCTACCTTCCTGGCCTGGAAAATTACTAAGCGCAGTCTCAATTTATAACAGCAGGGAAATGTACAAAAATTTGCTTGGGGATACCCTGACCTCAATGCTAACCACGTGGAAATTGTGACTATAGTCAGTCATGACTATAATCTGTGTCTTTAAACTTTTCCACCAACTTAGAGTTGGTGACTCTAGATCACCAACAATTTATTCTGTGACTCAAGTATCTGTTGCTTTAGATTTAGCCCAGGTGTTCTGATTGTTTCCTCCTGTAAAATATTCTGTTTGAAAGCCTTTGTAGGAATACTGATGAAAATCTATAAATATGCTCTTTAAAGTTAATGACAGCTTAAAATAAAAACTATTTTTGCTTTTTCATCTGTGACTTTTCAGGATAGAGGTGGAATAGAAGTTAAAAAAAAAAAAAAGGTCCTGGGAGGCCGAGGCGGACGGATTGTTTGAGCTCAGGAGTTCGAAACCAGCCTGAGCAAGAGCGAGACCCCGTCTCTACTAAAATTAGAAAGAAATTATTTGGACAACTAAAAATATATAGAAAAAATTAGCCGGGCATGGTGGCGCATGCCTGTAGTCCCAGCTACTTGGGAGGCTGAGGCAGAAGGATTGCTTGAGCCCAGGAGTTTGCTGTGAGCTAGGATGACACCACGGCACTCTAGCCCGGGCAACACAGTGAGACTCTGTCTCAAAAAAAAAAAAAAAAGTCATTAAGCTTGAAGCTTTTTTTTGTGTGTAATATTACACATCAGTTTTGAATGTCTACCTGCCAGCAAGGTGGAATCACTACTGCAGCCATTATCAAAAACTCTTGCAGGCATGGTAATAATAATAATAACAATTTCAAGGAATTTTGAAAGGAGAGTACAGTGTTTCCTTTTGTTCCTTCAATCTACAAGAGCACAATAACAACTAGAAACTAGAGTTTCTGATAAATAATGAAGTAAATTGGTAACGCACCTTTACAATAAAGCATACCAATGGTGTGGCTACTCCTTGAGTCCGGCCAGGCTTTGGCCTTCTTGGCAGTCAGCAGGCACAGTCAGCAGGTCCCAGAGATTTTACACCGAGCAACTGGGCAGAAAACCTGCCATCACACTTTGCTATATTTACTTTTCAAATTTATTTTTTCTCAGAGCAGGTGATAAAAGCCCCAAGGCAAGTCTGAAATGATGTAGATCCACTTTCCTCACTTAATCTCAACCCTTGAATTATCTTGTGATGTCAAAGAAATGCACTTGGGTTGAATTAAGATGGTTTCTTTTGTGAGAAATGAACAAGAGACAGAGACTCCAGTGTATGGATGCCAATGACTTCCTTTTAATTACCAATTATAATGTGCTGGAAGATCAGTTTGGGTTTTAGTCTAACTTATTGTCTGTATGTAACCTTGGCCCTGAGTTCATGGTGAGTATTCTAAAACCATTCCGTGGCTTTTGGGGGAGTGAGAGATTCCATGGAGTGAAAACAAATCAGGAAAAGCTTCCTATTCCACCACGCGGGAGGAGTGAAGACAATGAGGAGGTCCTCGTGGATGAGGTCAGCAGTGACTGTTGCAGTACTGAGGTTGTGACAGGAGGGTGCTGGAAGATGATTCTGAGTACCCCTCTCACCTCTGTACTGGTCCTGGCAGGATTCTTTGGGGTGTCCAGGATTTCATTCCCTTCTTTACCTCCCTCTCTCCCTTCCCCATTCCCTTCCTCCTTCCTTCCCTCCTCCCCTTCCCTCCTCCCCTTCCTTCCTTCCTCCCTCCCTTCCTCCTTTCTTCCTTGCTGCCTCCCTCCCTTCCTTCCTTCCTTCCTTCCTTCCTTCCTTCCTTCCTCCTTTCCTTTTTTCCTCCCTTTTTGTCTGCCTTCATTCCTTCTAGATACTCTCCAAGGAGATAAACCTACTGATAAAAATCCTCCTGAGGTGGGAGGATGGCTTAAGGCCAGGAGTGCAAAACCAGCTTGGGCAACATAGAGTGACCTTGTTTCTACAAAAAATTGAAAAATTAGCTGGACGCGGTGGCACACACCTGTAGTCCCAGCTACTAGGGAGGCTGAGGCGGGAAGAACGCTTGAGCCCAGGAGTTTGAGGCTTCAGTAAACTATGATTGCGCCACTGCACTCCAGCCTGGGTGACAGAGTGAGACCCCAACTCTAAAAAAAAAAAAAGAAAAATTATGAAGTCTATCATATCAAAAAGTCTTAGCTTTCAGTTGCTTTGGCAGGGAGTCAAAAAAGCAAGGGTTAGACTTCATCTTTTCAGAATTTGTAAAAGTTCTAGAACTGATAGAATTTATAATCCTGTAAACAACACCAGTTAAGATTTTCCAAGGCCCTACGCTACTCCCTGGTAGTAACTCTGGCTCTTTAGAGGACATGTTCATCGTTTGCTCCTGCTGTACACTCTCTTGGGACTTAAGAAAGTTCATTAATGCTTTTACCAGAGAGATCCTCAGTTATAAATAGTGTTTCACAGGAATTAGAAATACCTAAACTATTTAACACTACCATGTGCTATAAACTTTAAAAAATGCCCACTGCCTTCCTAACCATACTTCTTTCCTGCTATCACAAGAAAAAAGAAAAAAAAGAAAACTGAAACTTTCCCATATATATTTAAGTCTTTCTTTGTCAAATTAAACAGGAGGTCGAGCTATTTACTCCTTGAAGTCATGGCAGATTTTTAAATTCACAGTAAGGATATAAAGTCCTGAGACATTATAAAGGAAAGACCACTTAATGCTAAAATTCAAGGAACAGGGTTTTTTTGGAAGTCTATTTATAGGTTTATGGCTTAAAAATATATATTTTTCCTTCTACAAATAGCAATTTAACACTGTTTCCAAACTGGACACTGGAGAATATTCCTGTGAAGCCCGTAATCCTGTTGGATATCGCAGATGTCCCGGGAAACGAATGCAAGTAGGTAAGCATGATCTATTGGGAGGAACAAATGGTTTGCAATTAGAGCATGCAAGTACTGCATTTGGGGATAGAAGGAGCAAGGGGTAGAAAAAGTCTGAGTGATTTTAAGGAAAAACAGGAGAGAATGTTTAAAATTCACTTGATATAATATGTTGCAGAGGAGCAAAGATGCTGTTTTTAATCCATTTCCCAAACAAGCCAAAAATACTTAACATTGTATTTAACAATTTTTTCAATAATCATTTTTAAAATATGTTCTTCTGAATGATCTTTCTTTCAAACAAAAGTTAAATGTTTTGTCTCTAAATTGCTAAGGGTCCAGGAGTTTGAATTTCTGGTATTTTTTTTTTTTTAATTCAGGGATGCATGTCATTGATACTATTCACCAAATATATTCAAGTGTTGACATTTATAGTCAAACATAGCAGTTGTTTAAATTATCAGCAAGTATCCTTCTCAATGCTGTTTTGGAGTTATCATTTAAAAAGTTCATCAGAACATGTTTAAAAATTAATGCATTAATCAAGTGTTTTCTAACTTCATTCATTCACACCCTATCCTATGGTTTTTACCATCACCTTGTACCACTTGCCCTATTTCTATTTATTTTTCCTTCCATTTAAGTGGTCCTTTTTAATTTAAATACCTTACACATTGATAATCTGAATTTTAAAAAAGTTTAAATACCTAATTTAGCCTCATCCTAAGAAATATTTATCATGTTTCCTTTTTAAAAAAATTAGTTAATATTTCAGAGGTATCTGACAAAAATTAACAACACACTGGGCATTAGGAAAGAATTTTGAGAATTATGATAAGCAGACTTACTTAAACAGTATTTCTAAAAAGATCTTTCCCAAAATGCACACTGCTTTAAAATATTTAAAATTACTGTTGAGAAAAATACTACCTCATCTTTTCTCCAAGTTATTTAATCATATACTAACTAATACTTGCTTTTTAAAAATAGGAACTCTTTGAAGAATTGCTCCTTTAATAAATACAAAGGAAGTATCTAAATGACAGAAGACTGTAGCTAATGAAATCTTTGTGGACAAACAAGATGGAGAAATGTGGTCCAAATAATGTTTAGATGGAACCACATGTAGTTGAATCCCA